TTGAAATTCAAAAAATTTTTTTATTGAAATTCAAAAAATTTTTTAATTAAATTTAATTTTTTTTAAATTTGCCTTCAATTTTAGTAATATTTAATAAAATTAAAAAAAAAAATTTTTTAAATATTTTATTGTGTTTTTTACTTGTTTTTGAAAAAAAATTCAATTTTTATTAAAATTTTTTTACTTTTAACATTTTTTTAATTAACTTCAATTTTTGAAAAAAATTTATACATATATTGAAATTTTTTAAATTTTACTTTGTTTATTGATAATTTTTTAAATAAATTTTGTTTTTCTTTAAAGAATTTTTAAAAGAAACGATGGAGAAAATGGATCATTATACAACCCTTGAAGTGATGATTCAGGGTCCAAAAAGATGGCTTTTGGAAAGCAATACGGAACAATTCAGAGAATTGTGCATCACAGGGTTGGCGTTAAGAGCAAGAGACATTTTTAATGGGGAGAGAGATTCTCATTCTCCAGTTTTTTTAAATTTCAATGGAGTACGGGCTAAAGTTCACGGTATGGTTAATGGATACTGGATACGACGCATTGACTTGGACTTTAATGAAATTTTGGTAAGTTATAATTTAAATACTTTTAAAATAATAATAATTTAAATTTTTTAAATTTCTTTTTATTAATTATTTAATTAGAATGCAAATATTGAACAAAAAAATTAATGTTATTATAATAATTTATTATACATATTTATACATGTTAAAAAGATTCATACGAAAGTGTTCCTTGGAATTCCAATCGGAATTCCAATCAGAATTCCATTAGAATTTTTAATCGAAATTTCATTTCTATTTATAATAGGAATTTCCAATAAGAATTTTTAATCGGAATTCCATAGGAATTTTTAATAAGAATTCTTTGGAATTCCACTGAAATTTTCAATCGGAATTCCATAGGAATTTCCAATAAGAATTCTTTGGAATTCCATTGTAAGTTTCAATCGGAATTCCATAAAAATTTCCAAAAAGAATACAATTGCAATTTTCAACCGGAATTCCATAGGAATTTCCAAAAAAGAATTCCTTTGAATTTCAATCAGAATTCCAGTCAGAATTTCATTTTGGAATTTCAGTCGGAATTTCAATCGGAATTCCAGTTAGAATTTCAATTGGAATTCCAGTCGGAATTTTAATCGGAATTCCATAGGAATTTTTAATAAGAATTCTTTGGAATTCCACTGAAATTTTAAATCGGAATTCCATAGAAATTTCCAATAAGAATTCTTTGAAATTCCATTGTAAGTTTCAATCGGAATTTCATAAAAATTTCCAAAAAGAATTCCTTGGAATTTCAATCAGAATTCCAGTCAGAATTTCATTTTGAATTCCAGTCGGAATTTCAATCGGAATTCTAGTCGGAATTTCAATCGGAATTCTAGTCAGAATTGCAATTGGAATTCCAGTCGAAATTTCAATCGGAATTCCATTGGAATGTCGAATAAGAATTCCGGTGGCAATTTCCAGGAGCACTTTCTACGTGGGTAATTATTTATTATAAAAGTTAATTTAAATTATTTTTTAATCGTATGTCATAATTTATTATGATTATTATTTAATTATACAATTAATAATAATATGGGACGTTCCACGTCAAACGGAACAGAGCTCTAGCCAAAAATTGGCTTGATAAAAAAAATCGTTTAAGGGCTGAAAAAACTTGTACACTCTTGTACTTTCGAAAGCAGATGGGCGATTTCAGAAATTCAATATGGCGGCGCCTCTAGATGTGATATAAGTCATCAATGTCACGATTCGACAAATACAAACATGAATAAAATTTCCAAAATTAATTAAATTGAATCAAAAAATACACTTTTAAGCATTTTTGGGGTCGCTGAATACGAATCTGAAGTCAGATTTTAAAAATTCAAAATGGCGGATCCAAAATGGTGGTCGATTTTTGTTAAAATAAATATTTTTTCTCAAAACTGGTTACTCGGGGGTTTTTGGGGTCGCTGAATATGAATCTGCAGTCAGATTTTAAAAATTCAAAATGGCGGATCCAAAATGGTGGTCGATTTTTGTTATAACTTAATTTTTTTAAAAAACTGGTTACTCGGGGGTTTTTGGGGTCGCTGAATACGAATCTGAAGTCTGATTTTAAAAATTCAAAATAGCGGATCCAAAATGGTGGTCGATTTTCGTTAAAATTCAATTTTATCTTCGAAACTTGTTATTTGGGTGTTTTCGGTGTGGATGAATTAATTATAAAATTAGATTTTTTTGATTAAATATGTTATTCGGGTGTTTTAAAGGTCGCTTATTTTTAAAACAAAGGAGCACTTGTATATTTTTTAGCCAAGTGTCTTTGAAACCTTTTATGAATGATAGCATTGTAACTAACAGTGTATATTTTTTAGAGCTTTATGATTTTACCTATGTAAAAGAAAGATTTAAATATCAAAAGTCCTTACAAACACTTTACTACTCATTAATTTTACATATTATTTTTTTATTTTTCATATGCGCTTAGTTTTTTATTATTATTATTTTATTTACAACATATTCGCATTCAGCGACCCCAAAAACCCCCGAGTAACCAGTTTTGAGAAAAAATATTTAGTTTTAACAAAAATCGACCACCATTTTGGATCCGCCATTTTGAATTTTTAAAATCTGACTGCAGATTCATATTCAGCGACCCCAAAAACCCCCGAGTAACCAGTTTTGAGAAAAAATTGAGTTATAACAAAAATCGACCACCATTTTGGATCCGCCATTTTGAATTTTTAAAATCTGACTTCAGATTCGTATTCAGCGACCCCAAAAATGCTTAAAAGTGTATTTTTTGATTCAATTTAATTAATTTTGGAAATTTTATTCATGTTTGTATTTGTCGAATCGTGACATTAATGACTTATATCACATCTAGAGGCGCCGCCATATTGAATTTCTGAAATCGCCCATCTGCTTTCGAAAGTACAAGAGTGTACAAGTTTTTTCAGACCTTAAACGATTTTTTTTATCAAGCCAATTTTTGGCTAGAGCTCTGTTCCGTTTGACGTGGAACGTCCCATATATATTTCTTTTTTTGCAGAATGAGGACAATTACACGGGCTTCCGTTTATTTTTTCAAATACCTAATGAATGGGTGAACAATTGCTTTGATCTTCAGAAATTGACTGATTTTCTGACATTGGCGGCAGGAGTAAGGCGATACGGACTTTTCAGTCCAAGTTCATCAATGGACGACGATGAGTATTTCTTGGAACACTTGAATATCGTTGTAGAAGTATTGGAAATTCAGGATTTCGTGTTCCTGTTAAAAAAACGTCCTGATATTGACAATTTATCGGGAGATGAATTTGATTTTGACATCATAGAAGGTCCGGTTTCAAATCCAGCAGAAACCGAAGAATTTACAATGAGTCAAATGGACATTGATTTCCATCCAACTCAAGGTGTCAAAATTGAAGAAATTGTTGTAATAGATGAGGAAAATGAGGAGGAGGAGAGGCAAAGGGAGGTAAACGAAGCCACAAGTCTCCTGGAATCAATCATTAAACAGGAACCACAAGAACCAGACGATGAGGAGCCTCATTATTAAGAAAAAATAAGTATTTTTTATTATTTGTAATTTTAAAAATATTTTAAAAAATTTATTTTTATATTTCAGAATTTTAACTTTTTTATCAATTTTTATTAATTTTTAGTAATAAAAAATTTAATTAGTATGTAATTTTTTAAAAAAAATAAAGAATTCGTATATTTAAAAAAAATAGTAAATGAAAAAATAAAACCTCATTTTTATAAAAAATGTGTTAAAATTTTGTTCACCTATATCCTATATCCTTTATTTTTAAAACATGTAAATATTTAAAAAAATTTATAATAAACAAAATTTTAATGTTATTTTTAAAAAAAAATAATTTTTAATACTAATTTTTTTGCATTATTAAAAAAGATTAATTTTTCTGTTAAAACTATAAATAAAAAAATAAAGCAGGGTAGATGCAGTAAATAAAACACTGAAATTAGAATATATGTATAATTTATTTAAAAAATATTGCTATACAGTAATTTATTTTTACATAACCAATTTTTTAAATTCATTACATTTTGAAGAGCGCAAGTAAAAGTTTTTTTATTAATCGAATGATGTGAACAGGTAACTACAAAAGCTTGATCTCTTAATTTTTTTATTGAAACACAGTTCAAATTATCCATATCGATAATAATAGTAACATTTTCATCAATAAATTCTTGTAACCATTTTTTTTTCTCGTAACCTTTTACATAAATTTTGCTCGCTTCTTTAAGCGTATTTTTTAATATTTCGTTTATATAAATATACGAAACATCACCGGCATTTCAAGAAATACCATGGAAATTCTTTTCTAACCACCGATTAACACTCTTGTATTTCTTCGAAATACAATTCCACGGACACGGAGGTTGAAAAATCATATGCACTGGATTGGAATCATTATTATTTATAGAAACTATAGCCAATTCTTTTAAAACAAATTCATTAATTGGCAATTTGAATCCTTGAACATCTAGTATGTACTCCATTTCGGAATCTACAAAATTATTATTCTAAAAGAGGAATAAATGTAGAGCGTAAAAGCTATGCATAAGAGTATTTTCTTTCACACAGCCGAGGCACTAGCTTTGAAGGGGGAAGGGGGGACCTTCCACTCTCACACGTGTCAATGAATTAGGCGAGTTTTTCTTTATGAGCCTCTTATAACTGACCTAGGCCAAATTCTTTACAAGGTCGAGTGGGCTGCAGTGACTGTCTCTCTCAAATACAATTTTATTCATATGCAATTTAATTATAACTAGTAATAATATATATTTATGAATTATTAATAATAATTATATATATAATAATAATAAATTATTACTAGTAATAATTTTTTAATAATTATAAATTATTACTAGTACTAATTATTATAAATAATTATAATTTAATACTAATAATAATTAATAATTATTGGTAAAAAATTGAATTATTATAAATAAATTTTTTTTAATTTACACAATTTTTCTCACAATTCCGCTAATTGGTTTATATTCAACAATTCTATCATGTAAAATTAAACAATAGGCAGAAGTATTTGCAGGGAAATTCTCTTTTGATTCAAATTCTAAGCGGATATCAACAAGTCCACTTTTCAGTGATTCATTTTGTTTTGAGCAATCTATTACAACTAAAGGAGCGTACTCTAAAAATTCTTTTTTTGTTAAGATTGGTTGTGATTCTTTACCATAATATGTAGCTTGAAAATTAGTGAACATTTCATACAAAGTAGAATATTGGTTTTTGTCAATGTCGAGATTCATATTACCATATGGATAACATTGAGAATTTAAAAATAACTTAACATCAGAGATATTAGAATGATCAAAATAACTTGAATTTAGTGTTGTATTATTTTTTCTACTTCTTTGAAACCCCAACACAACAAATCTAGGTTTTTCCAGTTGTGTTGAAGTTTTTACACTCCAAATATGCTTAGGAGTTACAGGTAATAGAGGAAACTCATACAATTCCCAAGTTCGAAAACTGATAGGAATAGATGGATCCTTTTCAATATATTTTAACAGTTTAAATTTTCGAGCATCTGATAATTTTATGTACGGTAACAACCATTCAACTTTTTCAATTACTATTTTGAATTCTTCAAGAGGTGCTGTTTGTATAACTGCATTTAAATCAGTTCTTGATCTGGTTAGAATAAGCTCATGTTTAGCATTAATAATAACTTTATGATAATCTTCAGCAAAGCCAAAAATCATATTTAGCGGTATACAAACATCAAAATAACCATTATTATTGGTTAATCTTGGAGTATCACCAAATTCTAACAAACCAACATTCTCAAGAAATTTATTTTGACTTGCATCAAAAGAAACATAGTTTTTCATTAAACTTGTAAGACCGACATTTTTATTTTTATCTATTTCTACACCATTCAGTTCATATTTCGCCTCATCAAATAAATGACAAATGCCATTAGAAACTAATTTTGTGCGCTCTACTGCGTTTCCATCATTTTTTATTAGTTTTCCGCTCACATGAATCGAACTTTTACTTGGAAGAAGACAATGATCTTGATTTTGAACAGTTATACGTATTTCATCACTATTATTATACGTTGATGATGTATATGGCTGCTGCGCATGCACTTCGTAATGAGCAATTGATTCATCAAAAATGATTGGTGAATCAATATTTAAAATTTCCCCTTCCATGGCAAATAATACGTCGGTACACAAATATACAAATACAATTGCAAAAGATCTTAAATCGTTTTATCCTTTTTTCTTTACGACTTTGAGACCGAGACTTTTGAGTAATTGTAGGCTTTGAGGTGTTAGCCTCTTCAGGATTCGTCGCTGACTGATTTGATTTTGGCATGGTGTATTATTTTTATAACCAAAACCAATTATTTTCTTTTTATTATCAAAAACGATGCCCATTATTGTAAAGATTTGATATGAAGTCTAATCGTAATGGTTTCTCCTCGAAAATTTATCAAATGTCCGTCTTGATCAACAATTCTTAGCTGAATAAGATCTATTGTCTTGACAGCGACTGGCAGGTAAATGACGTGATTTGGCACTTCTACTATTTTATATCCTGGTGGCACAACAGGAAAAAATTCATGGATTGTATGCACTTTTTTCCCATTGATATAAGACCCAGTAGTTATATTACACTCTACTCTTAGGGAATTAATTTTAATAATGGATACCGGTTGATCAGATTCATGGTATTCTTTAGCTTTTAATTTTCGTGCAGAAAATCCAAGCAAACTGCCTATGGAATCTTTAGGTTGAAAATTAATTTCTTTATCGCAATAAATTGTACATTTTAAAGTATTGTTATTAGGTTTAATACTGAAAGTAATTCCTTTATTTTTCAAAATAAAATGCAAAACCTGATCCAGGTCACTAATTTCATAACTTCCTGTAGGTATAATAATTTCTTCATTATCAACATGAAACTTATTTTTTCCAACATCTATATTAGGAATAGAATTAAAAGTTAAAAATTCAACAAGACCAAGAGAATAATTTTTAAAATGAGACAACTCAATGGGGGGGAAAAATTGAGATTCTAAGATGGAACTATTTCCTGATAATGTTAATATAAGTGAATCGTCCATGTTGAAATCTAAGTATTAACTGAATGGAATATTTAATTTATTTATCATTTATATGAATAGAATACATATTTGGAATATTTAACTGATTGCATAAAAATTTAAGACATAAATGACCACAGTTAAATGAATCATAATTTTGATATTTTTCATAATTATACAATATGCTACCAACACCGAAATATTTAATAAGATCTAAAGGTGGTCGAAGATTACCAAAACTATCAAAATAAATAATTTTATTATTATTTTTTTTATAAGCACACCAATGTGTACCAGGACCATTTTTATCATCTAAATTAATTATTGCAGATTCATTTTTATTAGATCCATGAATAGGTAGTTCATTCCGCATAAAAACTCCTCGAAAAAATGGAATTTTTAACCGTTTTGCAAATTTTATTAAATCTAAGTCTGTTAGGGCTCGGTGTGGTAGCTTCATTTTAAGTTTTTTGATTTCCATCCTTTTCCTGTTTTATAGGGTTTGAGATAAAGTCCTAGTCCAGTTTTGTATGGTTTCAAGTACAGTCCTTTTCCTAAGGCAATTGATTCCATTGTCTCATTGTGACGTTTACTTTCCTCAAGCTGACGTTTTGCGGAATTTGCACCCTTTATAGCTTTTGCGATTCCCGCTGCCCCTCCTGCCAATGCCCCTGTAGCACTTAAACCCGCAAACAAAGGTATAAGAAAAGGTAAAACACCTCCAACCTTAGAAGATATTGGTAAAATTCGAGGCTTATTTATATTACGCTTGCCACCAGCGTTTTTTACAGCTATACGTGCCCCTCTAAGAGCTGATTTGATGGTTGATTGTGCTGCTGAACCTATTTTCATAGACGATTTAGCAGCTGATATAATTTTCCTCAATGTAGATTTTTTCTTTCTGTTTTTCCGCTTTTTCATACTTTTTTTTCTTTTCAATCCCATTCCAAATTTTGATTTTACCTTCATTGCGTTAGTTATTGCGTAAGCAGAAAGTTTTTCACCAACACTAGCGTCTCTTGCAAATACACGTTGCCAAGCTTTCTCTTGAAGAACTTTATCTGCAGCGTTTCGCGCCCCAATATTTTCCCTATTTTTCGAGTAAGAAATATCGTGCTCTTTGCACGCTGCGTCAAGAGGATTGATTCCTGGATCACCTCTCGATACTCTTTTTGCTACCTTTGTCCCCGGACCACAATATTGGTAGCCAGGAATATGTAATTCAACAGGCAAATTGTTGATAATTCTATTTAAGATACCTCTGCCACGTTTGACATGCTTCTTACAACTGTTTGATTTTTTCTTTATAGGCATGTTTAAATATTCGCTTTGATATTTTGTAGAATAAAATGAAAAAGTATAAAAAACAATACAATATTTCATACATTCTTTATGAAGAGAACTTTTAAGACTAATGTGAAAATGTATAAAAGCAAGGTATTTATACAGTTTTCCGTCAGTTCATAGGCAACCACTGATAGCAACAACAACAGCAGCAGCAATAGCCAATTAACACAACCTGTTATGAAGCTAATAGTTAATAATTTGACGGACGGATAAAATGAAGACTCCTACAGTCGGTTCTAATGGGAATCTCCCGAAACCAAAGTCGAATGTTGACCTTGCACAAAGTATGAAAGAATTAACAATTGACATCACATTACAGACGTCACTTTAAAAAAATTGGACAACCGACGCCACTAAAAGCCTTACATGAACTGACACAAAAACTAATAAAAACCTGTTATTTATAATTTTTTAACTCAGTATATATCAAGATGGAGTTTAAAGAACAGTCTTCTAAACTACCTGTTTTTAATTTTGACACTCTTACCCAAAAGTGTGATAAAAAACAAGAAAAGCGTCATGGGGATTTATTACCAAATAGTGTGCGAGCGATATTTTGTGGACCGTCTAATTGTGGTAAAACAAATGCATTACTTGCACTGTTAATACAACCAAACGGTTTAAGATTTGAAAATATATATATCTACTCAAAATCATTATATCAACCAAAATATAAATTTTTGGAAAGTATCTTGCGACCTGTAGATGGCGTTGAATATTTTGCATTTAATGAGCATGCAGATGTTATAACACCAAACGATGCGCGACCTAATTCAATATTTATATTTGATGATGTAGCTTGTGAGAAACAAGATAATATTAAGGCCTTTTTTGCTATGGGAAGACATAAAGCTGTTGACTGTTTTTATTTATGCCAAACTTACGCACGAATTCCGAAACATTTAATTCGTGATAATGTTAATTTATTAGTATTATTTAGGCAAGATGAAATGAATCTTAAGCACATTTACGATGATCATATAAATACTGACATGACGTTTACGCAATTTAAAGAAATGTGTAGTTCTTGTTGGAAAAATAAACATGATTTCATAGTTATTGACAAAGATCGTGAATTTAATCAAGGTAGATACAGAAAATGCTTTGATTGTTTTATAAAATTAGAAGATTAATACCATGAAACGACAGTGTAATTTTAACAATTGAACTAACAACATGCCTTCTGTACAAGTAGAAAATTTAAGACAGCAAAAAAATATTCTTGGAGAAATTGCTAAAGCGAGTGAAGCGATTCGACGGAAACATAGATTACTAAAATTAGGCAGGGAACAAATTGAACAGTCTTTAAATGATACTTTTAAACCTATAGTAACACCTATTCAAAAGTTAGTAGACGATATTGAAATAGTGAAACATATTCATCCAACAAAAGTAGAAACAAAAGATGAATACAAACAAGAATTGAATGAAGAAAATTCTGATTTCATTGATGTAAACAATGATAACGATTTTTATGCAAATTTGCAAATTAAAAATGAAGATAATGATAATGACATTTCATTTAGAACAGCTGATAATAAAAATATTGAATATAACACGTCAAAAGATTTAAGTTCTCCAAAAAATTTTTTAAAAGAAAATATCATAAATGTGTACCTCAAATTATTAGATAACAAAAAAAAGGACTTAGACAATGTATATGGTGTTAGGAAATTAACTCAAGGAAAATTAATGATTGGTGATTCAATAATAAATTTTGAAGAAAATGATATTTTTATTAACAACTCAAAGTTATTCTGCCACTAAGGGTTTACTTGAACTTTTATTTAAAAAGGTACCTGAAGAAAATTTCATCAGCTTGAAAGATCGTGAAAATTATAAAGATATTGTTATTTCCACAAATGCTCATAAAAAATATTTCAAAACGGATGGCGCTATTCGTGACAGAAAGAGTTTAAAATACGTAAATTATATAGCCACTGTTACATCCCGGTACCAAAAAATTCTTAAAAGATGGATCATGAACAAATTAAATTATCTCTTTTAAATAAAGGTCATTACATACATATGAGTCATTCACGATGTTAATAGTGAAAGATAGATGTAATATAACACCTCTGAATACGGAAGACTCGCATAAAGCAGATGTGTTATATATATATATATATATATATATATAGTAAATTAAAGAATTCAATAAGATTATTGATCATTACTCGATATTAATATTATTTTTCACAATACCAATTGTCGATCACTATACATCCTAAATGACTGCAATCAACTAATTAATAATCAATAAACTAAAATTTTAATAAATTAATTAAGATATTATTATAATTCTATTAATAAATAATGTACGTGACTTTTGCGCTAAATGAAAATTGTACGTGATAATTGCGCTGTCTGCAAATTATACGTGACAATTCTACCCCAATGAACAAAGATCATGTAGTATATAAACCCCAGTTTTTCTATTGCAAAATGTCAGTTAATCGGACGAGCTTCTGCCCGAACAGTGTCTGAGAATCGGCCCTTCAGTTTTGTAATTGTTTAAACTTCGCGAGTTTAGTGAGTTTTACAAAAGTTTTGTACAAGAGAAACAAGTTTCTCTTTATTTTATACAATATAAATCTTTTGTTCGAGTTAAATAATTCTTAATTGTCGTATAAAATCTAAATTGTGTAAGTGTAACAATTTATGATTTCTATAACAACGCATCCAGAAATACATATTTGTAATCCTGATTGCCGCTTGTTACATTACTAAGTTTCAACGAATCAATTGTAAGTACTA